GGTTTTTTTTTTTTTTTTAATTTAATGGAGCTAATTTATAATATTTTCACTAAAATATCTTGTTTGGTTTGTTTTCTGCTAGTGAGGAATGATACGAATGGAAAAGTCTGGAAATGATTTTCAGCTCTCAAAATCTGAAGTAAAAGGTAAATTTATTCATCTTAATTACTCTTTTTCTTTTCCAAAATAATTGTTATTTTTTACTTTAAATTTATTTTAAATTAATTATTATTTTTTTTATTTTTTAGGCAAACAAATATTTTTTTCTTACTTTAACCTTATCATTATTATTTTTTTTTTTTATGGACCACCCGGTATCTGGAAATCCATTGGGTCACCAACTAATCTATAAATTCGAGTCAGGTAAGACTCAACGGACGGCAAAACTCTCTTTCATGAGTTTTAACAGAACTGCATTTTCAAAATTTGAAACAAAAACCTCTAATTAAACTAGAAGAGTCTCATGCCAACTCATCCACTCGTTCGTGGGTATTATTATGTATTTATTTTGATTAATTATCATATCACAACTTTTCTTTTATCTTTTAATTTTTTCTTAAAGATAATATAAATAAATTATCAAATCTCAATTTAGAGAAAAAAAAATAACTATCATGGGATAGAGAGGGTAGCAAATTGCATAGGTGGGCAGAACTATAATTTTCTAATAATATATTTTAAGTCGTTGCTCATTACACTAACTTATGATACGATGATGAATTATATTAAGATAATACTAAAAATAAAATTATTTATAATTATAGTGATGTATTACATGTTGCTGTTAAATTAGTTATTACTTAATAGTTAAATTAATGAGCAATGATATAGGAATAACTTTTTATATTAGTTTTTATATAACTTTTAAATGTCACTAAATAAGTGAATACATTTAATATCATGAGTTTCAAATAAATAAAAAAAATTGATTATTTAAATAATATATAAAATTGTACAAAAATATGATATAAAAAATTATTTCTAAATTATTTTCCTTAAATTAAATGGACTTGCATTTCAAAATTGAAATTCAGTTTTAATTCTTCTTTGGGGCAACATATATTTTTTAAGTTTATGTTGGGTTACTATAGTTGGTAAATTAATTTGGTTATATGACTACATGCATGACTATGAGGTTTCGTGTGTGTATCATTAATCATAATTCAGTTGTGCTCAATTTTTAACCAAGGTAAATCACTAACCTATCTAAGTTATCTCCATTCTCTAGTTATGTGCTTTCTCTTTCCACAAATTTTTAGCCCACCATTCTCTTAAAAAATGAAGAGATGAGACTTCAGAGCAATACTCTCTTCAAAAATTGAATTCTAAGGAATTAGTGAATTACCAAAATAATGAAGAGATACGACTTCAAGCAATACTCTCTTCAAAAATTGAATTTTAAGGAATTAGTGAATTACCAAAATAATCAAGAAATGGGTTATTCTGCCAATGATTTTTTTGACAATCACTAATTAGTTAGGTACATCTTTCCTCCATTTCTAACATACCAACTATCTTTTAAAAAAAGGAGTAATAGTTTTTTGAACTGAATTCTACTCAAATTATTGATTTCCTAGAAAATTAACAGAAGACAAGTCATTGCAAAAAAAACTAAACAGAGGTCATCTCTAATTGTGTCTAACCCTAAACCATTACCCAGATTTTAACTTGAAAGAAACCTTAATTTTATTATTTGTGCAAAAGCATTGATTCAAGGCACCTTTTTTATAGGCAGGGTTGTGCATGAATCTAGTGGTCATGATGGAAATCCAGGCTCTGAAAGTTATCTGGCAATTGGATACAACCCAATAATTTGCATTGTACTTTTGAATCCTTATATGGTTACTCAGTCAACTAGATTTGTTCGGTTGTTAAAATATTATGAATCATTTCTTTATA